AATGCCTGTATGTGGTCCGCGGTTAATCAAGTAACAAGCTGTACTAACCGCTTCTGCCCAGAACCTTCTGTCTAGCCCAGCATTAGAGAGCATGCACCTTGCTCTCTCCAGGAGTGTTTGATTCATCCACTCAGCTACACCGTTCTGTTGTGGTGTATCCCTGACTGTACGATGTCGAGCAATCCCTTCATCCTTACAGAATTGATCAAATTCAGACCAACAGAATTCCAGTCCATTATCAGTTCGCAACCTCTTGATCTTCTTCCCTGTTTGATTTTCCATCAATGTTTTCCACTCCTTGAACTTCTGGAGAGCTTCACTTTTGTGCTTCATCGTGTACACCCAAGTCATCCTTGAGTAATCATCAATAATTGACACAAAAAATCTGCATCCTCCCAAAGACTCAACACGGCATGGACCCCAGCAATCAGAATGGATGTAATCAAGTGTGCCTTTTGTTCTATGAATGGCCTTTGGAAACTTGTTGCGATGTAGTTTTCCAAAAACACAATGTTCACAAAACTCCAGGCTCTTTACCTTATGACCCGCAAGAAGATCCTCCTTTGACAGAATTTGCATCCCTTTTTCACCCATATGACCAAGTCTCATGTGCCACAACTTGGTCATATCTTCTTGTTTAACTTCTGATGACGCAACATGGACTGAACCTGTAACCGTGGAACCTTGTAGAAAATACAAAGTACCGCGCATGACACCTTTCAAAATCAGATTTGAACCCTTCCAGACGCGCAACACTCCATCTTTTCCTGACCAACTGAACCCCTTGCTGTCCAAAAGACTGAGAGATATCAAGTTTTTCGTCATCAATGAAACGTGCCTGACCTCGTTCAATGTGCAGAAGCTACCATCATGTGTCCTTATCTTGATCGAGCCTGTCCCAACCACCTTGCAGATAGAACTGTTGGCCATCGAGATGCTTCCTCCGTCTACCTGCTCATAGGTCGTGAACCACTCTCTCCTTGGACAGATATGATAGGATGCCCCAGAGTCTAGAACCCACACATCTGAATGATGAGTGTTTTCATCAGCAACTAAGGCAATGTCTTCTTCAGAATTGGTATCTTCTTCAGCAACAGCAGCAGAAACTGATTGTTTTTCGGATTGCTTCTTCTTCTTCGGACAATCAAACTTCCAGTGCCCCTTCTCCTTGCAGTAATTACAGACATCATCCGGCTTTGCACCTTTTGACGACGGCTTCCTCTCTTTCTTCTTCCCACCGTTTTTCTTTCCCTTTCCGGAACTGGTGAATAGGCCGGAAGGTTGTACATCTATACTCGTGCCGTTAGCCTTATGCCGCAATTCCCTGTATGAAGGGCCGATCTAACTTCTTCCAGAGATACAGTATCTTTCCCAACAATGAACGATTGAACAAAATTTTCAAACGATATTGGGAGAGATACCAACAGAATCAGGGCAGCATCTTCATCCTCGATCTTCACATCGATATTACGCAATTCCAATAACAAAGTATTTAATTGCTCTAGATGTTCCCTGAGTGGTGTACCTTCAGCCATTCGTAAACCGAATAGACGTTGTTTCAGAAGTAGCTTGTTAGTTAAAGATTTCGTCATGTACAGACTCTCCAACTTCAACCACAAACCAGCAGCAGTCTCCTCGTCTGAGACCTCCGTGATAACGTCATCTGACAAACACAGCATGATCGTCGAGTGCGCCTTCTCTTCCAGAGTCGCCATCTCAGGAGTAGCGACGGCGTTTTTGTCTTTCGACAACGGCGCCCAGAAGCCTTGTTGTTTCAACAACGCCCGCATCTTGATCTGCCATAAACTGAAACTGTTCCTCCCTGTGAATTTGTCGATTTTCACGTTCAAAGCAGACATCTCGAAATTCTCCAAGAACACAGATTAACCTGGCTCTGATACCAGTTTGTTATGGAAATTCGAGAATAACAGATATAAACGAGAAAACACGACAACAGATCTAACGTGGTTTACCAACGTTGTGTTGGCTAGTCCACGGGGAAAAAGGGGGAGCAGTTTTATTTCTGATGGAGAGGCAAAAAATAGAATACAGAATGCCACACATAGGGTTTGTGGTAGCACCCATATATATAGTGCTTAGCTAAACCCTAACAGACTTGGGCCCCAAACTATAGAGTTAACAGATAATTAGAAAGCCCAATAAAAGTAGGGTTCGGATCTCTCAAGATTCGGATTTCTCGGAATTCGGATTTCTTAACTTCTCCGGAATTCGGATTTCTCAGAAGCCAGACTTCTCCGGATTCTGACTTCTCTGGATTTGGACTTCTCCGGATTTGGAGCTGTAACGGATCAGATTCAAGGCATTACAACATCATTGTTGGCGGTTTACATTACTTGGCTGTCACTCGTCCAGACATTCAGTATGCTGTTAATCGAGTGTCTCAGACTATGCACAACCCCACTGAGCAGGACTATCATGCCTTGCAACGCGTTCTGCACTATCTCAAAGGCACTTTGAATCGTGGTCTTCTTTTTCGCAAGGGGGGATTCGACCTATCTGTCTACTCTGACTCTGACGGGGCAAATGATAAAGATGATCACAAGTCTACCACGGGCTACATACTCCTACTCGGTCCTAATATCATCTCTTGGTGCTCGAAAAAGCAGACTCGTGTTTCTAGGTCATCCACTGAAGCTGAATATCGAGCTATGGCTGCAGGGGTTGCAGAAGCTATGTGGCTTCGATATATCGCTGATGCGCTGGGTATTCCTCCGTCCAAACCAAAGTTATACTGTGACAATGAGTCGACTATCTGTGTCACCAAAAATCCGGTTCTTCATGATCGCATGAAGCATATGGGCACAAACTGTCACTTTGTACGAGATGAAGTTATGGCAGGCACTATGACTCCACATCATGTTTCCTCCTCAGAGCAGCTAGCAGACATTCTTACCAAACCGCTTCCGCCAGTTCCTTTTGAGTACTTATGTTCCAAGCTGCCCCTCGTCTCCGTTGATCAGCTTGCAGGGGGATATTAGGAAGTATAATTAAATTAGGATTATTCTTTCCTTTCCTACTTGTACTTTGATTACTCTTGTATTCCCTATATATAGGGTCATATCTCTCAATATTCAATAAGACAAGTTATTATCAAATTGTATCAAGAGATGTCACAAGATTTTTTCACGATAGAAAATAAAACAAAAATAAATACATTAAGTTTTAACACATTCATAACACACACAAAGATATATAAAAAGAGGCTAGGATTTTAATTGCTTTGAATTACTCTCTTGTGAGAAATTTCTAAAATACAATTATATATCAATTATATATATAATTTTGTGTTTCCAAACAGAAGAATTGAAATTACAATATAATTTTATTTCAATTCTTTAATTATATCAAAAAAAAATTAAAATTGGATAAGAATTTCATTCCATTCAATTCAATTTCATACCATTTCAATTCTTATTCCATTTGAATTCCCTGTAAACGGAGCCTAAAATTTTTGATCCCTTCTCCTTCATACTTTTAAACCAAACACGAAGAGAGATTCAGATTCCCTTCCTTCCCCTCCTCTTCCCTCCAACCAAACAAACCCGTAAATTCTTATCGTAGCATGCTACATGTACTCCAAAATTTGTACCTCATTTGTACACCAAAGGTATGCACCAACATTTTGATGGTTGACACTAACACAAAGTGTTGGTGCATTAACAAAAATTTACACTGACACAAAGTATTGTTCCATTAACAAAAATTAGCATTACACCAACACAAAATTTTGATGCATTCTTACGATTTATAAATACAAATTCTTATAGTACAAATGGCTTTATCCTTTCTTATCGCGTACATTGTGTTTTTACATTTTTGTGGGGACACTTTGGTTAAATCAAAACAAGTATTGCCACATGCATCTCAGTCACGACTCACGATACACGTTAGTTGTTCTTTTTAAGGTCAAATGCATGACCCGCATTTCAGGATCATCGTGTACCACAAACCAATACCACTTCTTCTTAAAAAGAATGTAATACGGAGTAGTATATTTTTTGAAAATTATGAGTTTTTTATTTGTATATTTTTATTAGTTATTTGATAAAATTAAATATTCTTGTTACATTTTATTTTGAAAAAATCTTGATATAGTATTTCAATATTTAAATTTTATTTTTTATTTCTGTAGAAATTTTTAAATAAAATAAATTTAAACATTTAAAAGTTTGCTTCGTTTTGTGTAAATTAAATATCATTTTCCGTCTCTCACAAACACAAAAAGTGTAGTGTAAATTAAATATCATTTCTCGTTTTTTTCATTATAATTTAGTTAAGTAGTTGAAAAAAATATGTTTCTTACTCCCTCTGTCCCAAAATATTTATAGTCCCAAAATATTTATAACATTTGCTTTTTTAGCAGTCGCAGGAACTTTTGTTTAATTCTACGTTTTCATTGGTTACTTGATAAAATAAATATTCTTGACACCTCTTATTTCGAAAAACTTTTCATGTAGTTTTTTGATATGTAATTTTTTTTAATTTCTATAACAATATGTAAATAAAATGGATTGAAAAAAGTTGATACTTTATCTCGAGAATACAAGTGTGGCAAATATTTAGGAACGGAGAAAGTACATCATTAATAATGGCTTTGTATGAAAGAAAATTCTATAGCAGACCTAAAGTCTACTATAGAGTCCTACATATAAGTAAAATAAACAAGTTTTTAGTTTTTACTACTTAGATAAGTATTTACTCCCTTCGTCCTAAAACTTTCTTCCCACTCCCTTTTTTCACCGTCCTAAAACTACCTTCTCATTAGAAAAAAAGATGACAAATGACATTAATACCCTCATGTATTTACACCAATTATCTTCTAACTCTATATTTTGAATGATTGCAAAAAAAAATTTCAAAAAATCTTTTTTAAGAAAGATAAAATTTGAAATCAAAGCTAAAAATTAAAAATTGGAAAAAGTCAAACTGGGAAGAAAGAATTAGGACGGAGGGAGTATTAATTAACTTAGATATATTACCATTAATGAAGAGCTTGAATTTCTCGGGATTGATAGTTCTGAAATCTTGGATGCGAATCTTGTGAGAGAACTCCATCTCCCATGATTTAACAGCGTTTTGAACCGTCTCTTCTAATGATCCTTCTTCCCATACCTTTAATTTGAAAGTATGTATATATGAATAATAATATATATTACTCCCTCTCTGATCTGCCTAGCTAGCTGGACTCAAGTTAGTTTAAGAAAAAATATACAGTAGTACGTACCTGGGTTCTTCCTTCTTCAAAGAGGACGTTAACGGCGTCATAGACGGGAGGAGCGCCGTGCCTCCACTGGACGTTTTCTTCATTGGTTAGGAAGGACCTGTACTTGTCACTGGCCATTATTTGATCTGATAGGTATAGGATATAACATCGATGCGGAAGCATATCCTTTGATTGGCCGGGTTTATATATATATGTGGAATGAAAAAAATGTTATGGTTACACCAAAAAGTGTACCCCAAATGCACACCACTTCATCTCTAACATACAATCCCAAGTGTAGGAAAAAAATTAAAAAATAGAAAAAAAAATCAATGGTTATGATCAATGGTGTACAAATGGAATGCACACCACTTCATCTCTAACATACAATCCCAAGTGTAGGAAAAAATTAAAAAATAGATAAAAATCAATGGTTATGATCAATGGTGTACAAATGGGGTACACCATTTGGTATACCCCTAGCTTGACTCATGTGGAATTTGCACTGATATTTTAACAAATATTTCAGTTTGATATGATATTTTATTTCGTGTTGAGCCCAATTACGGAGTATCAACTCGGTATGATAAGCGATGATTCGGTATCGATTTCGGTACAAACCGGGATGAATATATATATATATATATATATATATATATATATCTAGTTTACACTTTAAAATTTGACAAAACCTTTTATTTTGAAAAATCAAAAGTATTTTTAAATAAAGTGTTGGAAAACATTTTCACTTTGACATTTTTCTAATGACAATGTTTGTTTCCGTTTAGATTTTGATATTGACAAACCGCCGGGAACATGGAACAAAATGAAAAGATTCAAAGAGATTGAAAAAGTTCTTTGAAGAAACAAAAAGCACAAGAAAGGCATTGACGTTGCTAAAGATGGCGACATTGGCGCTTTGAATACGTTTTCTAAAGACTTAGGTTTTTATTGTAACAAGCTCATTCAATTTTTCTACGTCATGGCTCAAAACAAAATATGTTTTTCATGCATCAAATGAGTGTTTTCATAAATGGTTTTTAAGTTTCTAAAACCCATGGTTCTTGCCCAACCAAAACCATAACCATCGGTTCTCGGCGTTTGCCTATGGCGTTCGGTTTTCAGCATTGGTTATTGGCATTGATTTTAGCCAAATGGTTTTTGGGTTTTTATATTTTTTTTTGCTTCTGGACACATTTAAAGGTTTTCCAAACGATTAATTTTCAAAAACCATAACCTTTGCTTTCCGGCGTTGGGTATCGGCATTCGGCGCTAGTTACTGGCGTTGGTTTTTGGCGTCCAAATCAATCAAGTGGTTTTTAAGATTTTATGATTGGTTTTTACTTCTGGGCATATCCAAAGAGTTCTCCAACAAAAAATGTTAAAATCACCCTTCGTTTTTGGTGTTTTGGTGAAAACCATGTGAAACGGCATAAACTTGGCTAGCCGTGGTTTTTACCTAAATAAAGTGGTTTTTAAGTTTTTATACTTGGTTTCTACATAAAATACATTATATAAGAGTTTACAACACTTGGTTTTAATTTTGGAGAACTTTGGTTTTTGACATCGGTTTTCGGTGTTGGCAGCCAAACCATGGTTCTGGCGAACCAGCCCAACATGCATGTAGGAATTCCCAACAGTGATGTTGGAATTTAGAAGTCTTGGGCAGTAGGTTTTTGAACATCGATGTTCATTGTTGAACAGCGATGTTTTCAAATGACCGTTGGGCTATTTAAGACAAAATCTTTCCATTTTTGAAAGTCAAACACCCCAACATCGATGTAGACTTCTAGACATCGATGTTTTGATGACTGTTATAGCCATTTTCAAAGGAAAGTAAAAGCCAAAACAGCGATGTTCACTATAGGAGCAGCGATGTTAGGCTAATATTCTGTAGACCAACTTTGATTTGATTTCCACAAATCATGCCATTAAACCCCAATCAACTCCCATCCGTTACACATCATTTTTGGGTATAAATAGAGATCTTTTGGGTCTACTTTTCACCACCATTCATCACACATTTCATATCTTTACATTGCATCATTCCATAAACTTTTTACATAGCTTTTTAGAGCCATTTCTTGAGGAATTGAGTGTGTTCTTGATCTAAATTAGGTTATTCATATTCTACTCTTTAAGAGTGTTTTTGTTCTTGAGGGGTTAAGTGTTGTGAACACTTTAAGGGAGGTTTGTTCCCTTGGTTGTACGAAGGAAGGGCATATTCCTTCGGGTTGAAGTCTTGGAGTGCAGTATCTCTGAGAAAGTGTATTGAGGCTCGTGGGACTCGAGTTCTCAGGTTGTAACGGTTTGTTAAGCACCCGTAAGCTTAACCGAAGTAGTTTAGCTCGAGAGAGTCTCTCGGGAGACTGGATTAGCCACACGTTGTGGTGAACCAATATAAATCTTGGTTTGCTCCCTTTACGCTTTCTACGCTCTTTACTTCTCCTTTGAATTTTTTTATTCCTGTGATTTCTACGATCAAACGCTATTCACCCCCCCCTCTAGCGTTGGTCACTTATTCTAACATAAAGAAAGATACCACATTAAAAATGAAAAAATAATTGTAAGTAATGCTTATGAAACTTAGTTTTGTATTTTACAAAGTAAAGAAAATAAGTGATAACAAAATAATATTTCACATGTTTTTCAATATATTCATCTACAAACAAAATCCAAATCAAAGTATAACTTACACATAATCAAACTTAAATAGTTTTTTTCAAAATAAATTCATTAATTAATGAAGAAATAAAAAAGGATTATTAGTTTTGTAATATATTACAAAAGGAGTACTACATATGTTCGATTTGAGATTTTTCGTATGGAAAGTTACCTCGTGCTGTTCCCAAATATCAGACCGATCGTTCAATTGGCACTGTTTGTTTTTTTGTACTCCGTAGTATTTTATCGGTTTCGTATTTTTCGATTCGATATTCTCAGTTTTTTGGAAATTTCGAGATCGATTTGGTACTTGATCACCCTTAGTCAAGGTCGGTCCTGATAATTCAAAGGTCCGGGAGGAGATAGAAAAAAGGTTCTTATTCCTAACAGATTAAAGTATACTCCCTCTATTTCAAAAAAAACATTTCCAATTTCACTTTTCATATGTTAGAAAAAACATCATTAGTGTCAATTAAAGCCTCTATTTTAGCCATATTAAATATTATCCTACTCTGTATTAACTATTAATCTATCCATCACATTATATTTATATTCTAACCTACAATAAAGTAAGGGTAAAATTGGAAAGTAATACCAAAATTACATATGCCTTAAATCTAACTTTTTTCCAAAACAAAAAAAAGTTTTAAAAGTCATTCAAAATCAAAAGCTATAGTAGTATAATTACATACCATAATAGCTAACGGGTTATTCATGAAGTTCTCCTAGTATTTTAGAGACCAAACTGGTTGATCAAACTTTATAGTCTATACTTTCTAAGGTCTCATTCTTGATATCTATTATTATCGATCTGTTAAGTAAGTAAAATTTTCAAGAGCTTCAATTTGAAAGAGCTCCTTTCTACATATGCCAATTTTATCAGAACAATTAACAAAATTCTATTTTCAATGCTTGCATTCGAGAAATGATCAAGTTCTTTAATGACTCGTTTGTTAACATGAATTTGAATTTGAAATCCGAATTTGATCCAAATATCATGTTTGGCAACCCTAAAAATTTGGATTTGATCAAAATTCTACCCAAATTCCACCTATTCAAATCTAACCCATTACAATTACATGTTCACCCCATGTTATTTCAAAATCCAATCATACCAAAAATAAAAAACCCTTCGCCTTATCCCTACGAAAAAACCCTCTGTCTTTATCAATTCGTCGCTATCTCAACAATCAAGCACGCTAGTAGTCGTCTGGCGATTTAACACCATCGCCGTGCTTAATCCAAGTATTTCCTTTCCCGCGCTCCATCTTCACAGACACCATCGTGACTTGAATTTGTAGGTTTTGGTTAGAATGTTTGTATAGTTTGTTATTTGCAATCAGATTCCACACCATCGCTCCTCTTAGAAGAAAAAAGAAATTCTAAAACAAAAGTATCCTTACTTTATAATAGTATAGAATTGGATGTAATATATATGGGAATTCGTTTTTGGACACCTATCTATATATGGAAAGCTGGAATTTTCCACAGTGAGGGATGGAAAATAATCTTGGAGTTGCTTTATGTCACTAAGGAAAGAGTCTGGAGTCATTTATATAACTATTTTTCAAATAATATTTAAAAAAACATTTTTCGAAATTGCTTCAGAATTGAAATCAAGGGCGAAAACAAGACCACTAGGAATCGGAACCATCCCAACAACTGATTCTGGTTTTAGAATCAAATTGATACCACAAATTTACAATAAACTTAAAATAAAGAATTGTGCTATTGTGATTTTAAAGCCACAGTTTCTCATACATTTCTATGTACTAGTAATTTAACTCGTGCCACGCACTGGGTTGAAGAAAATTTTTATTAATTTTTTGAATTATCTTCAATGTAATAGCTTTAAATGAGTATGGAAATATTGTAATGCGTTCTTTAACACTGTAGATATTAAAATCAAAGTAAAACAAATAATTTGGCATTTAATAATTGGTTATAAAAATGATTATATATAAATTCAAAAGTAAACATATCAAAGTCTTTTTAAAATTCATATTTTTTTGAAAGACGTTGGGGAATATAACATTTTGGTGTGGTTGCAAAGATTTTCATTATTATTTTTGGAACTATATTTTTAACCCTATTTTAGTTTTCACTCTTGTAACAATGACATAAAGTTAACTATGAGTGAACTTCAACCTAGTTAAAAATAATCCGGCAAATGATAATATTTGACATTGACTTTTATCCATAGTCATAACAAAACGTAAAACGTTCATCGTCGTATGTCTTCCTCTGATTTTCGTTCATTGTAGATATATATTACTCCCTCCGTCGTAAAACTATCTTCCCACTTCTTCATTTTTAATGTCCTAAAACTACCTTCTCACATCCCAAAAAAGGGTATAAAATGACTATCCTGCTTTTACAAAATCTACTCCCCAACCTTCTCACTATATCGACATTCTTTTTCCCTCTTATCTTCGTCTCTCTTTCAATTCGCCTCCTCAAAACCTAGATCAATCTAGAGGTCAGAGTTGCAACCATCGGCGTTCTT